TGAGCCACCGCGCCTGGCTCTTTTCTTTCTCTATTCTAAGAACCCTCTGGCATTCTGCAGGGTGCCTGTGAGAAGGTGCCGGGCAGCATGGCGCATCTGTGAAACAAGAGGCCAGAGCACACCCTCTGCTTGCTCAGAAGGAGCAATCAGCCACGAGGAACAAGTGAACGACGCTCAAAGCTGTGTCACATAAAAACACAGTGATCCACACGAGGATGCAGCCGAGGAGGCCCGAGCACTGCCTGGGGAAGATGTGTCCCGCAGACCCCGGCCACACCACCCCATTGTCCACTCCTGGGACACGCTGGTCACCACCTGGCAAGAGCTGAGAAATGCACACGACACGCCAGCCGTGCTCGGGACTCCAGGAGGCGTGGATGGTGTGGACAGCCCTAAAGTGAGGTCCTTTCAGTTTCTGTGACAGCCAATGAGGTTCCTTTTTTGAGATGGAGTCTTGCTCTGCTGCCCCAGGCTAGAGTGCAGTTGCGTCGTCTTGGCTCACTGCAACCTCTGCCTCCTGGGTTCAAGTGATTCTCATGCCTCAGCCTCGCAAGTAGCTGGAATTACAGACATGTGCCACCATGCCCCGCTAATTTTTGTATTTTTGGTAGAGACGGGGTTTCACAATGTTAGCCAGGCTGGTCTTGAACTCCTGACCTCAAGTGATCCACCCACCTCGGCCACCCAAAGCACTGAGATGATAGGCCTGAGCCACTGTGCCCAGCCCCACTGATGTTTAATTTAACTTCTGAAGCTGCCAATACATCTACATGATTCAAAGGTAAACAGAGACAGACCTACACCTTCAAGAGGTTCTGGGAAGGTGGCCGCTTCCACCCCTGCTCTGGACTGCCTGAGCCCGAACCCCATCTCCTACCCATAAGCATTTCTGTTGGTTGTGTTGGTGTTTGCCCACTGGCTGATGGTGTGAGTGCGCGTGTGTGCAAAGGTACTGTCCCATCTTGCCTGCATTTTCACAGAGGCACATCCCACACACCCAGCTCCATACCTGGCTTTTGCAGCTCATGGGCGGTCTCTCCTAGCGGCAATGATGCCCAGATGCCAGGTCGCGAGGGGCTGGGCTCTGTCCAGTCTGAGCCACTGCAAACCTCACTGTGATACAAGTGTGGCACTTGCACCCCTCCCCTGGCCCCTCCCCCACCGAGCACCACATCCCGATGCTCCTGCCCAGCACGAGTGACCCCGTGGCCTCTGCTGTCCCCTCCTGGTTTGGTCGGCCCCACTCTGGTCCCCTCCTATTACTGGTGCCCAGCGCATGAGCACCCTCTCGTTTTATCAGATTCTGCAGGCTCCTAACTGATGCCATCACCAGGAATAATTCCAGCACCAGCCTGTCCCACTCATCCTGCTGTGGGATGACTCAAAGTTGGAAAATTCTTTTTATTCTGTTGCCAAGGCTGGAGCGCAGTGGTGTGATCATAGTTAACTGCAGCCTTGACCTCCCGGGCTCAAGCTATGCTCCTGCCTCAGACTCCCAAGTAGCTGGGACAACAGGCACATGCCACCACACCTGGCTAATGTTTTTGATTTTTAGTAGAGAGGGGGTCTTACTATGTTGCCTAGGCTGGTCTCAACCTCTCAGGCTCACGTGATCCTCTGCCCTGGCCCCCACAATGCTGGGATCACACATGGGAGCCTCCACACCCAGCCTGATGCTGGGATCACAGGTGGGAGCCACTGTACCCAGCCTGGAAAATTCTTTATGGTGCCTTTGACCCATTCCTCCTAACGTCCCCCCCAGCCTCTCCACTGCACCATGGGCCACAGTTGTGTTTGAAGGTGGCTATGACATGTCCACCAGTTTCTTCAAAGCAAAGCACCCCCAGGCCTCTCAGCCCTGCAAGACTTCATAGTACCACCTGCTGTATGGTAAAGTGTCACCTACATACGTGTACTCCTCGTGTCAGAGTCGAATTAACAAGCAGATGGAATAAAATGCTTCTAAATCAAGGAGGAAACCACGCCGTCTGTCTTACTGGTCTTAAGAGGTTACTAAGCTTTTTAGCAAATTTCTCATCAATGATGGAAGGCAAGAGTATGTAACCCACAACAAGCTGCAGAAGTACGTATCAGCCGGCCACGATGGTGCACACCTGGAGCCCCCCACTGCAGGAGGATGAGATGGCACTTGAGCCCAGGAGTTCAAAACCAGCCTGGGCAACATAGCGAGACCTTATCTCTACAAAAAAAAAAAAAAAAAAAAAGCCAGGCCTGGTGGTGCATGCCTGTACTCCCAGCAATTCGAGAGGCTGAAGCAGGAGGATCACCTGAGCCTGGGATTTCAAGGCTGCAGTGTGCCACGATCACGCCACTGCACTTCAGCCTAGGTGACAGGGCAAGACCCTGTCTCTTTAAAAAAAAAAAAAAAAGCTACATCAGACATTAAAAGGCTGAGCAGCACATCCTACGTTTGTTTTTGGGATAAAGTGTGTCAGCCTTGGGCAGATGCATGTGGACGCCTCGCCATGGACAAGGCTGAACCCTGTGCTCCAGCTGGAAGGGGCAGGGCCAGGCCCATGATGGCAGAGATCCTGCCAGCTTCCAGGGCTTATGGAGGCACCACTGCAGCCAATATGCCAGAAGATAGCCTCTTGGCATTTTTTTTTTGAGACAGGGTCTGGCTCGGTCACCTAGGCTGCAGTGCTATGGCACAATCTCAACTCACTGCAACCTCTGCCTCTTTCAAGCGATTCTCCCACCTCAGCCTCCTGAGTAGCTGGGATTACAGGTACCCACCACCATGCCCGGCTTTTTTTTTTTTTTTTTTTTTTTTGGGAGAGACAGAGTTTTGCCATGTTGCCCATGCTGGCCTCAAACTCCTGAGCTCAAGCAATCTTCCTGCACTGGCCTCCCAAAGGGCTGGGATTACAGGCATAAGCTACCATGCCTGGCCATTTCTTTATTTTTATTTTTTTTGAGACAGAGTTTCACTCTTGTTGCCCAGGCTGGAGTGCAGTGGCGTGATCTCGACTCACTGCAACCTACACCTCCTGGGTTTAAGTGATTCTTCTGCCTCAGCCTCCCGAGCAGCTGGGATTACAGGCACATGCTACCATGTCCAACTAATTTTTGTATTTTTAGTAGAGACGGGGTTTCACCGTGTTGGCCAAGCTGGTCTCAAACTCCTGACCTCAGGTGATCCGCCCACCTTGGCTTCCCAAAGTGCTGGGATTACAGGTGTAAGCCAATGCACCCAGCCAATTTTTTTTTCGGTGACAGAGTCTTATTCTGTCGCGAGGCTGGAATGCAGTGGCACGATCTCGGCTCACTGCAACCTCTGCCTCCCAGGTTTAAGCGATTCTCCCACCTCCACCTGAGTAACTGGGACCACAGGCGTGCACCGCCACATGGCCAGCTAATATTTGTATTTTTTAGTAGAGATGGGGTTTCGCCATGTTGGTCAGGCTGGTCTCAAATTCCTGGCCTCAAGTGATCCACCTGCCTTGGCCTCCCAAAGTGCTGGGATTACAGGCATGAGTCACTGCATCCAGGCTTTCTTCTTTCAAACTTTCATTACGTATTCATGTACTTCTTGTTTCCCCCAGGTTTATGAAGGTATAACTGACATTTAAATGCAGGCAATCGTAGCGCACACTGTGATGTTTCTATATGTGCCTACACTTGTGTGCTTTATTTCTTCACAGCAGGCTGAGACGTGTAAGCTCAGAAGCAAAACTTTTACATATCTAATTCTTTAAGAAGTAACCCAAACAAGGAAATCTGTAGTGTTTCGAGCCCGCCTGCTTTGTGTACCTGGTGAAGCCTCACTGACACTGTTACCTCTTGCTAAATCGCAGCCCTGCAGTGGGAAGGCCTCAGCCACTGCTGCCTGCCGGTCAGTGTCAGCAGACACGAGGCACCTCTCCCCAGGTGCTGCAGGCCCACCTTCCCTCCCAGACGAGGTCGTGCAATCCCACAGGCGATCATCGACTCTTCTCTGGGGGCCACCTTTATCCCGGGGTGGGGTTGAAACTGGCTGTGTGTACCTCTTCCCAACTCCACATTCTGGGATGTTCTATTGGGGTTTCAGGGCAGCCAGGGTGGAGGCACAGACACCTCAGAACGGGGCAAGTCCACCCGAGACACGGCCCCCAGCGCAGCACTGCCCAGGACTGCCACGAAGGGCAGCAAGCCCCAAGCCACAGATGTTGTTTCCTGGCCTGCAGGTGTCTGAAGAAACGCAAGGCCACACCCAACGCAGCCACTGCTGGCCTCTGGCTGAGGAAGCCCTGAGAGTGGCTCGCAGGCCCCACGCTCCCTGGCCGGACCCAATAACAGAGTCTGTGCCCCCAACCCCAGCATGGCCGGCTGAATCCTTTCCTGTCTCACGAACACACACATAAGGCAGGCGGCTCCCGACACAGCCTGAATCTCCAGTTCCCAGAGCACACTGTCTCCCGTCCCACGCACTGTGCTGGGATTTAAGAGACTCACTGAAGACAGGCACTGCGTGCTCCTAAGGGTGCAGCCTCTTAACTCTGCTGCGTGTGGCGCTTACGCTCGAGTCCAGCACGCGGCTGTGCTCCTTACCCCCCTCGTAGTAGTGCTGTGTGGACTCCTCGAATGACCGGTCGTAGCTCTGCTCCGTGTAGGATGACTGCTGGTAGGCGTAATCGCCGTGGCCTGTGTGAACGGAGACGGTGACAGTCAGCAGAAGCTGCGCACTGCACAGGTCCCGGAGGAGGCAACTGAGACCCAGGCTGGGGAGATGCTGTTGGGTCAGGGAGGCACCCAGGGCCAGCAGGACCCGTGTCCCCCCAGACCATGCCCCAACCTCCTGAGCCTCGGCCTCCTCACTGAAACGCAGACATCAATGCCTTCTCGGGGGGACTGTGAAGCTACCTGGGGATTTATGCAGAGGATCAGCGCTCTCAGTGCCCACCACACGGCCACGCTAGTGACCCGACCGCCTTCTCCTCCCTGCTGCTAGCTCCTGGGAGGACGCAAGCAGGGGTGTCCAACCCTCACCAAGGCCTTCGTTGCAAGGTGGCTTGCCCTGCTGCCACCTGCCCACCTGCCTGCGCACCTGCCCACCTGCCCCTTGCTGGCTGAGGCCAGCTCCCTGCCTGGATGCCTCCCAGGGATCAACCCAGCCTTTAAGACCACTTTATTTTATTGTTATTTTCACTTTAGAGACAGGGTCTTGCTCTGTCACCAAGGCCGGCATGCAGTGGCGCCATCTTGGCTCAATGCAGCTTCCGCCTCCTGGGCTGAAGCGATCCTCCTGCCTTAGCCTCCCAAAGTGCCAGAATGACAGGTGTGAACCACTGTGCTCAGCCAAGCCACTTTCAGCATCCCCTCCACAAGCCCTGGGCTATGGAAAGACTGAAAGGTGACGAAGGTAAAATGCAGAGATGAGAAGGGGCAGGAGGGGGTGCTGCAGGTGGAGCCGTCACCTTCAGGGCATTCTCTGGGAAGCTGGGAGGCTTCTTCTTGAACATTTCCACCTATCTACGGCTGGGGGCTGCAACTCTCCGCCTCCAACTCCCACATCCTTTCAGGAAGAGGAGGCGAGGCCGCGTGGAGGCGAGTGCAGTGGTGTGTGCCTCAGCTTCTCTCTGCAGAGGCCAGGCACCCCGCCAGTCCAGCTCACCCCATCCCCTGCCTCGCTCCTGCAGGGCATCTGGCCGCTCTGCCTGTAGCCCAAGCCTGAGCTGGAACGACTGGGGACGCACTGCAGTGGCCACACCCTCCTTGCCCTCCTCGCCCCTGCAGCTGCTCTGCTGTCCTGGGCGGGGTCAGGCTGCTGCCAGTGCTCACCATCGGGGTAGTACTGCTGGCCCATGGGCTCTGCGGCACCCTGGCTGTGGCTGTACTGCTCGCCATAGTACTCCTCTTGGCCCAGGTACTGCTGGGAAGAGCCTGCAGGGGAACCACATTCAGCACCAGTGCGGGCTGCACCCTCCTCCCTTGGAGGACCTCCTCGCTCGCTGGGGAAGCCAAGGCCTCGCTAAGCGGCCTCACCCACCCCAGGAGAACGCCCCACACTGTCACTGTATCCAACTTATTTTTTGTATTTTTAGTAGAGACAAGGTTTCACCATGTGGCCAGGTTGGTCTCGAACACCTGGCCTCAGGTGATCTGCCCACCTCGGCCTCTCAAAGTGCTGGGACTACAGGCATGAGCCCGGCCTGTGACACTCTTAATGACAACTGCCGCCCCTGCCCCCAACCCTGACTCCTCGGGGACAGCAGACCCTCCGCGGGCCACACCCCAGCCCGCACCCCCAGTGTCCACACCAAGGCCCCAAGCCTCTCTCCCCCAGGCTCCCCACAGACAAGCACACAGCCTGGCACTTCACCACCCGGGGCGGTCAGCCGTGCCCAAGACCTGGCCTGGCCGGGCATTACCTTGCTGGGAGGGCCGGTAGGGCGCCATAGGCCGCTGCCCCATCATGCTGCTCCCCTGGCTGCCCTGCCCCATCATGGCGATGGACGACTGGCCCTGGTAGTGCTGGCTGCCGCCCTGAGCCGAGCTGTAGTGCGACGTGGCCGCCTGCTGCTGCATCATGGAGACTGCACGACAGGACAGAGGCCCCACATCACCCCGGGAAGCCTCCCTCCCTCCCTTCCTCCCACACCCAACTACCTCCTGCGCCCAGGCAGGTTCCTCGTTATTTTCCTGTGCTCCGCACGAGAACGTCACCCTCCCCTGAAAGGCCTGCACTGACGCCCTGCATGCTCAGACCCGCTGCTTACACCGACTACTTGAAAATGTGCCGACGTGCAGAAAACAGGGAGAGTCCCTGGGCAGGAAGATCCAGTGGCTTCCACAGCCAACCACCACCTTTCCACCTCTCCTCGGACACACAGCTCCCGTGACAATCCCACTTGCGCCGCGGCTCGAGTCCTGTTCTCCCCGGTCCCTTGAGCTGGCCTCAGGGGTCACACTGTCCCCTCCTTAGTCCTGTTCTCCCTGGTCCCTTGAGCTGGCCTCAGGGGTCACACTGTCCCCTCCCTAGTCCTGTTCTCCCTGGTCCCTTGAGCTGGCCTCAGGGGTCACACTGTCCCCTCGTTAGCACCTGTGCAACCTCGCGGCCCTTCACGCCGGCCTGTCGTACACGTCCCCTGCTCAGAAGCCCCTAGCGGAGCGCCGTCCAACAGAAATGACACGAGCCACACTTTTTAAAGTTTCTAGTAACCACATCAAAAAAGTAAAAACAAACAGGTGAAATCCATTTTAATCGTGCATTTTATTTGAGTCAGTATGTCCAAAACAAACGCTTAATACTCAGTTATTGTGAGAAAATCCTAAGGAGGTCCTCGGCACCCTTTTTTGGCACTAAGCCTCTGAAGTCCATGTGTCTCCAACACTCAAGAAACTCAACCAGGACCGACGCCCACGAAACGCGACCGGGGCCGATGCTCATGGAACGCGATGGGGACCTGCTGCTTCTCAACTGCCCAACACCACACGTGGCCACCATGGCGGATGGCCCCACTCTCGGGCTCCTGCTGCCCTGCAGAAAGGCTGGGGCCTCTGGCCCAGCGCTTCTGGCCCCTTGTCTTCTCCACTGAGGTGCCTCTAGCCAGGCTGTTCCCTCCCTGGGGAACAACTCTACCCCCACCTCTGAGAGCCCAGTGCTCTGTCCAGACCCAAGGTCAGTGGCCCCCACTCCCTGAAGCATTCCCGGAGACTCCATGGGAAACACCCCAACCCCTCGCAAAGCTGGGGGACAGGAGGGGTTGGCTGTGCACCCACTGGTGCCCATCCCTCCAGAAGCTCTCAGAGGCGGCGGCCAGCCCTGATTCACGGGCCCCTCTCCCGCAGCACCCAGCAAGAGGGCAGCTCCCCAGGGACACATATCCAACATGCATGTGTCAAGGGTCTTGGAGGCAGGCCCAGGCCCCCCGGGGTTGCAGAGGCAGAGGAGGTACCTGGGTTGGACTGCATGTTGATGTTGGTCCGAGACACGTAGTTGCCGATGGTGCCTTGCCCCTGCATGGGGACGCCCTGTGAGGCGGGCCCCGCGTGACTGTAGCCGGGCCCCGAGATGCTCATGGAGGTGGTGGGCAGCGTGTTAGGCGCCGTCTGCTGCATGGACACATGGCTTGGCCCTGGCAGGGGGAGCAGGGAGTGGTGTCAGGCACTGCGGAGCCAGGTCACCACTTCTGAAGGTGAAGACGCCCCAATTTCCCTTCAAATGATTTTGAGAAGAGATTCTATCAACATCACTATTAATGATTAAGTGACTAAATAAGAAATAAGGGGCCTGGTGCAGTGGCTCATGCCTGTAATCCCAGCAGTCTGGGAGGCTGAGGTGGGTGGATCACCTGAGGTCAAGAGTTCGAAACCAGCCTGGACAACATGGTGAAACCCCGTCTCTACTAAAAATATAAAAAAATTAGCCAGGTGTGGTGGCAGGTGCCTATAATCCCAGTCACTCGGGAGGCTGAGGCAGGAGAATTGCTTTAACCCAGGAGGCGAAGGTTGCAGAGAGCCAAGATCATGCCCATTGCACTCTAGCCTGGCCGACTAGAGCGAGACTCTGTCTCAAAACAAAAAAAAAAAAAAAAGAAAGAAAAAAAAGAAGCATACATGCTAGCAATGTACAGGATGCACTGTTTATTTGTTGTTATTTTGTTATTTTCTGAGACAGGGTCCGGCTCTGTCACCCAGGCTGCAGGGCAGTGGCATGAACACGGCTCACTTCAGCCTCACCCTCCCAAGCTCAAGTGACCCTCCCTCCTCAGCCTCCCAAGTATTAAGCAGTTTGGACCACGCGTGGGCACCATCACACCCAGCTAATATTTTTATTTTTTATAGAGACGAGGTTTTGCCATATTGCCCAGGCTGGTCTCAAACTCCTGGCCTCAAGCAATCTGCTGGTTTAGGCCTCACAAAGGGTTGGGATTAAAGGTCTGAGCCACCATGCCCGGCCTGTTATATTACTATTAATAGTCTCCAAACGTTACTCATGCTTCTTAATTCAAAGACAGCAGCGTTCCGTTCTTATTACACAATCCACCTGGAACCCGGCAACTTGCATTTGAAATGAATGGAGTATGACAATGTCAGAAAGCGCAGGCGATCTGGAGCAAGGGCTCATCCCAGTCGCATGGCAAGCTCGCTGCGGCCCTGAGCCTGGGCGATGGCAGCTGACCTGTGGCTACCCCATGAAGAGTGGGTTCCCATGCCCAGCCCTGTGACGGGTGGGGTGCCCCAGCATGGCAGCTGCCTGCCCAAGGGCTGCCTTGGTGGCCTTGTGACCGGGAATGCCCTCCTCCCCCGCCGCACTCACCGTTGCCAATCTGGCCCTGCAGGAGGGAGGAGGGCGGCAGGCCCGTGCTGATGGCGTCACTCAGGCTGCCCTGGGAGTGCAGGCCCTGGCTGGAGCCACTCTGAGTCAGGGCTCCAGGGCCCAGGTTCATGTTCTGCGTGGGCGGCTGCAGGCAACAGGAAGTTTCCAGGGAAAACGGTTAATTCACGGAGAGCGACCTCCACAAGCCAGGCCAGGGATGAGAGGGCGCCTGAGATTTGCTGCCACATGTCATGGCCACCTGGTCCATGTTCGTAATCAACAGCCATTGTCACAGCCAGGTGACCGCAGAGCACCAGGCCCAACAGCCAGGTGACCTCCGAGCACCAGGCCCAGATGGAGACGGCATAGTGAGCGTCTGGGTGAGCGTTCGGAACTCTGCTAGTATCGAGTTCATCCACACATGCCTGGGTTTGAAAAGCTGGACCTCCTTCTCCTGGGACAGCAGGGAACCCCTTCCCCTGTCCACCCCAATGCACCCTGTCCTTCTCAGGCGCAGCTGGCCGGCGCCTCTGTGCTCCCCGTCCACGACCCCTCCAAGCCGAGGGCCTTGGCACAGGCGGGATCCCTCTCCTGTTTCCCGTGCTCCTGCTGCGTGTGCCCCGTCCCCTCACTCCCCCCACCCCATGCCCACCTTGGATCACACCACACGGAAGGGAGTGTGCAGTGACCCTCAGCACTCTCCCAGATCAAGGTCAAACAGCAGCTCTGGAGGTATGCACACACACGCTGTCTACAGCTGGCCAAAAAAAGGAAATTTCCACCAGGACCTGTGGGTGTCTGCAGGGTGAAGAACTGCAATGTGACAGGTCAATGGAGGTGGGTTTAACATTTTTACTCACGAAACGCATCCTGGCATTTACATCATCGCTTGCCGAGGACTAAGGGTCACTAGGAGATACGGCACTCCCGGTGACAATTTAATTTTGGAAAAATGCATTTTAAAAAAATCAAACAAAATAAAATATTTGAACTATCATTGGGAGAATTTACTATTGGGCACGTTCTCTTTTAAGTTCTGTTTTCACCCACAGCAGCGCATGTGCATGGTTCACAACTGCTCAAAGCACCCGGAGAGGTTCCAGGGAGATGCAGGGGCCCCCATCCCATCTCTCCCTACCCCCGACCCGAGAGCTGCGGCCGTTCCTACAGTGGTTCTTCCGGGACTTCCCTCCCTTCGATACATACAGAGGCTGAACCACAGTTCCGACCCGGCCACCTCAGACGCCGTCGTTACCCCCTGTCTGTCAGGAGGGGTTGGTCACCACCGCCCACACTCCCATTTCTGGTGACTCTAGTGGTATTTTTGGTTCCTCTGAGTCATCTTTGTTACCTGAGGTGACATGCCCACAACTCCCGATTTTAGGCAGTGTCGGAGTCCTTGCTGGGTAAAGGGGACCACCCCCAGCGGGTACTCACGGCAGGAAGCAGGGACTGCATGTTCTGGTTGGAGTCTGCGATCGTGGCCAGGTATACCAGGTTCCGGTGCAGGATTTGCTGGTACCTGCACGAGAGGGGGCATGCATGAGGCAGGAGGATGGGACCACGGAGTCCCCAGGTGGATCCACGGCAGAAGTAAAGTGTGAACACCACAGTCTGACAACCAGCCAAACCCCATGAGGACACAGACTCCAGACGACACCCAGGGACAGGCCAGCTGGTTGCCCAGCTGGACACAGGCAGGTGGTAGGGTGCTGGGGTCTAGGTGGGGACGGCAGGGCAGCCTCTACCCCAACCCTGAGCAGGCCCCATCCCACGCCAAAACCTCTGGAAAGACTCTAAGGCAGCAGCTAAAGGGGAGCTGGCACTGGTCTGCTCAGAGAATGGAAATGGGGGAGGCCACGAGGAGGCAGGGGCCTGAAGGTGACAGAGGGACAGAGCCCTTGTCCAGCTGAACCAGGCAGTGGGCAGACTCCATAGAGCCAGCGACCCTGAGAAAGCCCTGGAAAGAAATGGGGAAGCACAGTTCTGCCAGGGAAGGCCCCTCGTACACCTCACACCAGTGGGGCCCCAGTCCCCTCACCCCACTCACACCCAGGGGTGTCTGAGGCCATTCACCTACTTCCCACCTCCAGGTCAGCCTGATGGCCACTCGGACAGCCGTTTGGAGGGTGGCAGACTGGCCATGCACCCCTCCTCTGTGTCAGGCCCTAGGGTCACAGGAGGTCCCACCTGGAGGAGGTGCTGTCTCCTGGCTCACTGGCTGTTGGCCGTAGAGCTGCCCACAGAGGCTGGCCCGGGCCTCCCCACACTGCTCTTTCCTCCCGCCTCCCTCGGAACTACGCCAGTTATGGCAGCAACGCTTCGCAGCTGTGCTGGGGCCTCTCGGGACGTAACTGACCTCCGCACTGGGGGGCTCTGGGGACTTATCTGGCCTCCATGCTGGGGACTCTCGGGACGTATCTGACCTCCATGCTGGGGACTCTTGGGACGTATCTGACCTCTGCACTGGGGGGCTCTCGGGACGTATCTGGCCTCCATGCTTAGAGTCTGCATGACCCCCAGAGTGTTCCGCGGACGGCGGGCGGCACTCACTGCGTGCACTCGGCTGTCTTGCCCTTGCTCTGGTACTCCAGGATGCACTGGATCAGGTGGTGGTTCTCGTCCAGCATCTGCGGAGAGAGCGTGAGCGGGCGCTGCCGACGCGGGGCTGCCGCTGGCCCTCGGGATGAACCGCCACCGCTACGCATCTAGTTTTCATATAGGTTGAGTGGCCCTTACGTGAAACGTGTCACATTTCAGATTTTTCCAGATTTGGAGGTATCTGTTTTAGACCCACCGGTTTGGCATCCCGAATCCGAAAACCTGAAATGCTCCGATGAGCATTTCCTTTGAGCCTCATGTTGGCGCTCAAAAAGTTCTAGATTTTGGAGCACTTCAAATTTCCAGATTTGGGATGCTACGCCCGTTCTGTACATGAAGCTGTCGTTACATGCATGGCCTCAGCCACCACAGACCAAACACTCACACATCCCTGTGCTAAGGACTTCGCCAGTAAGCGGCAGGGCCATCTCAGCCCACAGATGAAAACATGGAGGCCCCGTGCCTCCAGCAGCCCCCACCCTGAAGGACCCTCCAGCTTCCAGGGCCCTTGACTGCAGAGCATCTGTGCAGCAAGGGTCAGCCAAGTCGACAGCAAGGATGTCAGGACCCCGTGGGCACCCCACAAGAGGCCCTGGAGCCCCCAGCTGGAGGGGACAGCCTCAAATCGCAACCACACAGGGTGGGACACAGGTAGCTGCCCCCCTCAGGATCAGCAGGGGTCCAGGGCACTCCTAAGTGGGGGGCATCAAGACTTCCTGCAGGGGCTGCCACCAACCGCGGTGGGGGAGGGAAGGAAAGGGTCTGGAAGGGGCAGGGACAGCACTACGGGTAGAAGAAACCACACACAACACAGGCCGGCGTGGGGGCAGGAAAGGTGGGTGAGACTGCGGAACCGGGCATGACCTGGACCTAGGGCTGGTGACCCGCAGCCCTCACCCCTGGAGTGCTGAAATGCAGCAGAACAGCAGGACGGGCCCACAGGCCACACAGGGAAGGCCAGTCCCGTCTTGAGCCTTCTGTATCTTACACATAAAGTGTGTGTGCACAGACAGGGTCATGACTCCAAACTCAGATTAAACCAGTCTCAAGTGACTCAGGTGAACAGCCAGATGTGGGCCTCCCAGACCTGGGCCAGGGTCTCTGTGCAGGCACCACGTGCTCCTAGAACCGGCAAAATGGAGGCTTCTGGTTCAGGGACAGCCAGGCACACACTCCGCCAAGCACGCTCCACGTTCAAGATGGGCACTGCCAGGAACCTGTCAGATGCAGGGGCTCAGCCTGTCTGTGACCTGGTGACCCGTGTGCCTGGCTGCACCTGAGCAGCAAGGGGCTGGGCCCACAGATTCCCCAGGTTTCCTTCCCAAAGGGCCTCCCGAACGTGCTAGTGTGGCCCCAAGGGGGTTCTGGAGCACTCCCAAATCAAGCGGCCCAAGGCCTTGTGTCCACACACCTGCACGTGCTCAGGATGTGCTGAGTCTGGTGGTTGGTAGAAGTGGGGAGGGGTGGGTGGCAGCAGAGGAACAGGGACTGGGGCCAGGCGGCATCCTGCACACACCACACAGGATGCCCACGGGCCATGGGGAGCAGGCACAAAAGAGCCGGCTCTTCCAAGGTGTCCACCTGGGGGCAGCACTGGGTGGCCCATGGAGACCCAACAGGAGGTGAAAGAGGAGAGAGGGGGTGTGGGAGGAGACTGAAAAGAGGGGACACCCGCCCTGTGACCAGCCGCCTCCACCTGCAGGGAAGCACAGGACTGAGCCCACCACACCTGCTGCTTTCCATAAAAAGGCCTTTGCTCAGAGGCTAGCAGGCAAGGAAGAAGCCGTGCCTTTTCGCTCCACCACAGCGTGCTGGGTCATCTCAGCCCTGTGAGGCTGCCCCCAGCAGGAGCTCAACAGGCCCTGGAGCAGGGGATCCCTAGGGCAAGGCGAGGAGGAGCTCACCTGCCTGCCTGGGGACCTGGGGCCACCCAGCTGTGCCTCTACCCTGCAACGTGGCCCCTTTAACTGCAGTCTGACCTTGGGGCCCAAACCCATCCACAGGCAGAGGGAGTCCAGGGCAGAGAGAGCCCAGTCAGGCCACCTAGCAGAGCAGAGCCCGGGCCCACAGCCCCAGCTAAGTGACTGCCCTCGACTCAGCTTCCTCCTCTGCCCGTCTCCACAACTTCAGGGTTGGTTTATCCTGCTCTATTTTTTCTTTAAGTTATACCTTCCCCCTTTCCACTCTTTATCACTTTTCTCCCTGCTGGGGACAAGGTGGCCTGCACTCAGCTGAGCCCAATGGGGCCGAGGAGCCGTCCTGAGACAGGGGCGCCACCAGGGGGCGCTGCGGGCCAGGCTTACCTGTGGGCAGGTGAGGGTGAGTTCACCTGCCAGGCGCTGGCATTCCAGATGGCTCTGCCTCCAGATGAACTGAAGGAAGGGGACAACTATGGGCTTTCTTGCTTTCCCTTTAAGTGCTTCCCCTTCTCGACTCCTAACCCTCAGGCAGAGATTGTCTCCAGAGACACGAACTAGACACGGCCGGTGTTTCAGCATCACTCCCGGCACGGGGCCGGGATGGGCTGGGGGGGCACAAGCCGCCGACTTCATTAAGCAGAGCCTCGCGGTTGTGCAATGGCCAGGGCAGTGCCGCGGAGTTTATGCACACACAACAAAACACAGTACTGGTGTGTGTTTTTAAAAAAATGGATACAGAAAACTTTCTCACATATGTTACACACATACCTATTTCAAAAAAGGCAGGACAGGTGGAATGAAAGGTGGCAGACTGGACGCCCCAAGCCCCACGCCCCGGCCGGCAACTGAGGATGGAACAGGTATGGCCTACTACGGACAGAAAGGGGAGGGCACAAGATGGCAGCCACGGGAGTTTGAAGCTGAAGAACACAAGGACGAGTGACAACCAGATCAGTGTCCCCAGGGCGCCTGGCCTGAGCCACGCTGTGCTGCGAAGCCCCACAAGGCTCAGGAATGTTAAGATTCCGGCACCTTTCAGGGTCGTCCAGGATCTGCCGGTAGGAGATGGGACTGGATGAGGGGGGCGTCTCCAGGAAAGTGACCAGCCTGGAGGAAAGACACTGGGTACTGAAGGGAATGTGCACCTCAGAGCGAACCACAGACCGGACCACACGCCTGCCTGAGCACAGCAGGCGGCGCTCCAGCCTCCAATCCCCAGAAGCCACAACAGTGCCATTTGAAAGACAAAGGCCAAAACCAGCCACAGAGGCCAAAATCCAGAGACGAAGGTTATGCAAGACGGAAACTTTTTTTCTATTGCTTTTCTTCTGAGACAGGGTCTCGCTCTGTCACCCAGGCTGGAATACAGTGGCGTGATCTTGGCTCCCTGCAACCTCCACCTCCCAGGCTCAAGTGATCCTCCTACCTCAGCCTCCCGAGTAGCTGAGAATACAGGTGTGTGCCACCATGCCTGGCTAAATGCTTTTTTTTTTTTTTTTTTTTTGGTAGAGACAAGGTCTCCCTGTGTTGCCCAGGCTGATCTCGAACTCCTAGGTTCAAGTGATCTGACCACCTCGGCCTCCCCAAGTGCTCATTACAGGCATGAACCATCGCGCCCGGCCTGAAATTTTTTCAAAAAAATCCAACAAAACCTATTATTAATATCCTCACGAAGACAGCTGGTGCAGTGATGCAGGTTACTGGAGCCTCACAAAAGATGATGCTGGTTAGAAACAACAGAGGGAAGAGCTCTGGAGGTGAAAACCTGTCAGCCATAACACAGCTCAACAGAGGAGCAGAACATGAAGTTGAAGAAGAGGCCCGGAAAGCAGGACGGATTGACCGAGGAGAAAACAGAAAGATTGCGAAGAGAGGAGTGGACCAGCGCGGCCCTCCAGGAGCCCCAGAGATAGGAGCAGCGAGGAAATCACCCCCCAATCCTTCAATCAGAGCTGAAGGACGCACTTCCCCATCGGAAGGGCTCTCAGGTGACCAGTCTGCCAAAAAAGACCAGGGACAAAAAAAGACCCTAAACATGACAGGAGAGAAAAACCAGGTTCCACGTGAAGGACAGTGAATTCTGAGGGCATGGAGCCTCCTACGTGGGCCCACAGGGGGTGACAATCCCAAGGAGACTTCCGGAGGAGCTGTGCTCCATACACCCCCTGAGGGGCAATGACCCAGGCCCAACGGAGACCTCGGGGGGGCCGATGGCCTGGCCTGAGGGAGGCTCTGAGGGAGAGATGAACTCACCACGGAGGCTTCCAGAAGGGCTATGGTCTGATCCTGAGGGAGACTTCTGCACAGAAATTGTCAGCCGAGACCCCAACCAGGAATGAAGGGAGAACAGACGCACTTTCAGACCCGCAAGTTAGGAAAACGTACCCTGTACCCAAACCAAGGGCACTCGATGACTGGCTGGCATTCTTCGAAAACTGCTAGTCATCAAAGATAAGGAAGATGGACGAGTGGTTCTCAACCAGGAGAGACTCAACAGACATGGTCCCGGGGTCCTTCCAATAATCCTTAATGATGTTCTACAAAGGCCATTACCGGGACAACAGGGAAGTCAGAGTGAGTCGGAGCAGACGGCCGCGCTGCTGCCACATCAGCTCCCCCATTTCAATCTTAGTACAGTATCATGTCCATGTTGGCAGCAAAGTCACGCTCAAATATTTGGGAGTAAAGGGGCACCAAGTCTACAACTCATTCTCAAATTGTCAGGGCAAAAGTAACGTGTCCACAGGACAGAAGAGGGAGGGGACAGCAAATGAGGTGGCGTTAACATGCGGGCAGTCAGATGAGGGGAGTATGGGAATTCTGTTTAAAGGGGCACATCCCAAACACCTGTTCTCAGGAGGCCATAAAATGATGCGCCTCCCTCCCCAAACCAAGGGAGCAAATCCCAGGAGACGATCCAAGACCCAACCCAAGAGAAGCCAAAGGAATTTGGCCAATGGTGGGAGGCCCACGGAGAGCAGCCCCGAGACTGAAACCCAGAAGAATACCTGAGCGAAGGAGGAGATACACTAGTGACAAGTGATCAAAAAGAAAAACAATCAACAACTCCAGGGAAAACAAAAGCCAGGTAGGAAAAGCAGTCACATGATCCTGCGTGGTTCAACAGTGAGCAAGGTGTCTGTTATCACCCGTCAACAGCAGAGGCAGATCCAACCCCAGAGAAAGCCACTCTGACGGGTATGAGTGGGAAGCGCAGGTGTGCAGCAGGGAGGGCAGACCTTACCTGGTGACCCGTTCTCCCTGGTCACCAGCCCTAAACCCGTTCCAAAGTGGCCACTTGGTTTGGCTTTGAGAAGGGCAAGAGGGTGCTTCTGGGAGGCAGGAGGCATTACTCCTCAGGTTACTCACACCCTGATCTCGTCTGGCCGTGTCCCCACCCAAATCTCATCTTGAACTGTAGTTCCCACAAGCCCCACGTATCATGGGAGGAACCCGGTGGGAAGCAATTGGATGGATGGGAGCCGCTTCCCCCATGCAGTTCTCGTGATGGTGAGTGAGTTCGCACGAGATCTGTTGGTTTTACAAGCGCCTGGCATTTCCCCTGCTTGCATTTCTCCTTCCTGCCGCCTTGTGAAGAAGGTGCCTTGCTTCCCCTTCTGCCATGATTCTAAGTTTCCTGAGGCCTCCCCAGCCCGGCGGAACTGTGAGTTAATTAAGCCTCTTTCCTTCATAAATTAGCCAGTCTCAGGTTTTCTTCATAGCCGTGTGAGAGAACAGCGAACATACACGCCCACGGCACGTCTTGACTCCTCACGTGCCCGCGTGGCTTTGGTGAGCACAAAATCCAAAGCAAAAGACCCCGACAGGAGAAAAATGCACTGACAGGCAGCTGCGGCCCCGGCTCTGGAGCTTGTCGATCTCTAGTTTCTTACATGTCTGTGTTTATGAAAATCTCTAAAACAAGCATTTACTCACGGTATCATCTGCAAAATGACCTTAAAGAGGCCTGAAGTGAGTCTGGGGTTGCCAGGGCTGGTGATGGGCCCACCTGAGTCTCCTCTACCTGGTTGTACCTCTAACACTAGGCTGAACAAAGAAGCCATTCACGCGGCCTGGAGCGCTAAACATTTTCTGCATTTACTGCTGTCTTCTGCAGACACTGCTTCGCAGCTTCCTGATGTGCACTTGTGTGTTTCTGCATCGTGAGACACAGTTCTCCCCATCCTTTCCAGAGAAGCTGAGTTTCTACAGGTTCAGGGGTAAACCTGTGTCAGAGACGTTGCTGGCAAAGCACTGCAGCTGGTAGCCTGAGGCCTCCTGAGGTGAGGGTGCTGGGGACAAAGATGAGGTGGCAACTCCATCTGGAGGAGCTAGAGGCTGGCATCAGGGGCCGCAGTAAGGAGGGGCGGTGAGACCCCATCTCTGAGCATGCTTCATCAATGTGCCCATCCTAGGCCTGGGTGAGTGGAGGTGACAGTGAGGAGGTGCGGCTCGCTCTGCTTATGGTGGAGTAGGCGTGGGTGGCCGGTCAGGTGGAGACCAATGTGCGTGAACATCTGCTCAAGGCCATGAGGCAGCGGAGCCCCAGGCTTCTGGGGTTGACCTCCAGCTGGGCTGGAGGCTGGGCAGAAGCACATGGGTGAGGTGGGGGAAGGGCGGCCCGACGGAGGAAACAGGCATGTGCAAAGGCCATGGGGCATGTCCAGGAACGGAGGCCAGCTCTGGGGAGCTGGAGAAGAGGGGAACGGGGGCTGCTGGGGGACGGGAGTCCTGTGCCCATTGCAGGGGTTACTTTCTCAACTGAAGCCTGTGCTCACTGCAAAGGCTGGCTGGACTAAGATCCCAGCGGCTGGGTACATCCACCACCCAATGCACAACAAACCTCCCCGAGCCGTGTGGTCGAAACATGATTTCTTAATTCCCATGATTCTGGGCCAGCTGGGAGGATCTTCTGCTGGGCTTGGCTGGGCTCGCCGCTGGGGCAGCTGGGAGACCCGGGCCTCCCACTCCCTCTCTGCGTTGTCACCCCTGTGGTCTCAGGCTCTGAGGGGCGGCCCCAACGTGTCTCTGTTGGTCAGGCTGGCTGATGCCCAGGGCCAAGCCCAGCACCCACAGGGAGACGAACCCAAGGGGCACAGAAGCTGTGGCCATGGCAATGGACCATGCGGCTGAGCAGAGAAGCCGGATTTGGCAGGCGGGGACTGACGGGGGAGACAGGGCATGGCTTGGAGGGCCCAGGGCACAGCCAGGCACCAAGGATGGGGCCTGGGACTGCTGAAGCCCCACCGTGGGGTCCTGACTGGGGAGGCAAGGGAGTGAGGCTGAGAACTGCGGACGGAGAGCAGCTGGGGTCCCAGAGCCCACAGAGAGTAGGTGAAGGGCTGGGGCTGTCAGGCAAAAACCTGGGTGAGGGGCTCTCAGCAGAACCGTCTCTCCCCAGTGACGAACCTGTGTGGGGCCCTGGAAGCCGGACACAGAGGCGGCCTGGGGCTCTGAGGCTCACTGCCCACGCTGGGCAGAAACACCTCCGGTGTCCTCGTGGTTGTCCTTTCTAATTACAAAGACTTTTGGAACCTTTTTAATTTTGTAGGAGGAACCCCTGGCTCCTCCCACCCAGAGGCCCGCTCTGCTTCTTCTGGAAGCATCTCGCATGGAGTCCATGCGCTCCCCTCCCGACTCTGCACACACCTGATAGCGTTCCACTCCCGCTGCTCCACTGAGTTCCCTTTCCTCTCAAAAAATCTTGGAAACTGTCCTCTGTTAGCACAGAGACCCCACCTGTCCCTTGAGCCCAGGACGACGAGGCTGCATGAACTGTGATCACGTCAGTGCGCCTCAGCCTAGGCGAAGGAGCAAGACTCTCTCTTAAAAAAAAAAAAAATCCACCTCAATGTTTCCTATGCTCCAGAGAATTCCACAACATGGACACAACGTGGTACTCAGTCTCCTCGGACAGACGTTGAAATTATTCCCTGTCTTCTGCCACTACACGCAGGGCTGCCACGCACTCCCCACGCATGGCGTGGACACAGACACAGGATCAACTCCTAGGAGTCATCAAGGTGTGAGAGGGACCAGCCTGGCAGACCGGAGAGCTGGTTGAGCATCAGCAGGTGGCTGAGCCAGCGATGGCACCTGTGCTAGCACCTGCTACTTCTGTTCTTGGGGCAGACATCGCTGACCCATCAGCTCTCCTTCCCTGAGCCCAGCCTGAGCTGCTCCGTCCTTGCCCCCAAGGTTAGCAAGCCGACACTACAAACTCCACTGATGGAAGCCAATGGGACCCTCTGAACATTCCCCCAACTGTGGAATATGTGTTGGTGTGTGGGCTTCAGAAGAGCCCCCAAATTTACACGTGCAGTCTCCTTGGGGGGAGCTGGCTGCTGCCTCATGGCCCCGCCACTGTGTGTTTGACAAGCGTGTGCAATTTCCAAGACTCTAAGAACATGTGAAGACATGCTTAACACACACAACAGCAGCCGCATCTGCACACGCCTTGGCAGTCCCTTTCAGTCTCATGGTGCTCTGGGGCGTCTCACAGCACAGCACAACCAAATCACTTTGCTCCTGACAGTTCCCAAGCTGAAGACGTGCTTACTGTACTAGCGACATGTGACGTTTGTGTGCATCCCGTCCATGTGCTGACACTGCCTTTTCTTTTCGACACGACCCTGGACTTGCGATGGTTTCCTGCAGTATGGAACGGAGTCCTTACCTCCCTTTCCGAATGCCACGGATAAATTCCGGCCGTTCCTTGCTGGTTGCGTGCCTGATCAAAGGCTAAAGCTGACCAATGACAAGGCTGCCAGGCATTGCCTTACCCATACACACAGGCTAGGAGGGAGGCCACAGCCCTGTCCTCTTGCTAAAGACAAGGAAACTGGGCCACAGAAAGGTGAAGCACACATCACCATCGGCGGGATAAGAATGTGAGCCCAGGAAGTCCGGCCTGCCCTACCCTGCCCTCCTGCAGTTCCGTGGCCCCCATCCTCATCCTGGTAACACCAAGGACCTGCCTGCTTCCCACACCTATTTCTAATTTGAGGAGGATATAAATAGGCCACTTCCGTCCCCATTGTGCACAGCAACTGTGGTGGCCGATTAGAATCGGACCAGCATCACAGGAGCCTCCTTCCCGCAATCGTCCATGGCGCCTTCTCCCAACCTTTCGGATTCCTCCTGTGATCACAGGCAGGGAGGCAGTGGAGGTGCCTGCCTGGACCAGAGGAGAAGACCTGCACTTTCTCTTCCCAGGCCCCACAGGCCTTACGGGCCATCAGTGCCGGCCTGCTAACTGCCTCAGCACCCAGGGCCTGTTCATTCCTGCATCCATTGTACCACGCCACAGGGCGTGACCCCTGCATCCACTGGGGGTGGGCGTGAGTCCTGCATCCACTGGGGGCGGGCGTGATTCTTCCACCATCTGCAGCCCGGGGATTCCAGGAAATCTGTCCTCGGACTCCAAGCACACAGA